TGGAGGGGCTTGCAAATATTTTACTTCTTTTGGGATGGAGAGTGGTTAAAATATTAAGTATCTTGGCATAACTCAATAGAAGTCTTCTGTTTGGGAGTTGAATTTAATAATCGTACTGATTACTGACCTGTAGTCTTTATATTGTTACTATGTATATAAAATTCCCGGGGCATGAAACATTTGTAATGAATTTTTAAATTTGGGTATTGAATTTAATACAACTACAGATTATAAACTTCTATCTCGCCATTCCATACTTTATATTATACATAAAACCCTAAATAGAAAACATTCTTAATGGATTTGTACTCTTATTTAAGGGGAGAGGAATAGAATTAGTGAGGATTACAGGTTTACAAAGAACTGAGTGTTAGAATAACTCTTAATGTTGATAGAAATGACTGCATTTAAAAGTGCTGGCAGCTATTTCTAAAATTTATTAGAGATGGTAGCAGGAAAAGAATAAAAGGGTCATGATTTTAAACTGTATTTTTCTTATCTTTAAGTATTGTATAAAGGGTTACCATTTAGCAATCCATTTATATGTACAACCCATCTTGATGGATATCACCTCTTCAAAACTTACAAAATGTGAATTGACCTACTAATATGAACAGAAAGGAGACAGATATGAAATTTGGACGGATAGGAATTTTTTCTTTTTTGCTCTTTAGGCGTACTGGGATTTGAACTTAGGGCCTTGCATTTGCTAGGAGCTCTACAACCTGAGCCACATCCCAGCACTTCCTTACTTTTGTTTTTGACAGGGTCTCATACTTTTTCCTGGAACTGACATTGGATTGTGATCCTCCTACCTTTGCCTTCCACATAGATGAGATTATAGAAATAAAGCGCCGCATCAAATTTGTTTGCGGTGGTGAGGTTTTACTGGTTTTTGTTTCTTTGTGTTTTTTTGGTCTGGGTTAGATTTGAACTGTGATCTTTCCAATCTCTGTTTCCCAAATAGTTGAGGTTAGAGGCATGAGCCACTGTGACAGGTCCAGGAATGATTTTTCTTAATGGTATATTAGCATGGTAAATCCTACTCCTTGTATGAACACATTTTTGTGTGTGTTTTTTATTCCATTTTGCATCCTTGCCTTGCGTGTACACATCTCCCTGAAGTGATGTATACACACCCAGGATGAAGACAGCATCTTGAAGCTTTAATGAGCTGTAAACTTACCACTATTCTTAGAACTGTGAAATTCTTAAATGAATTTTTATCTCCGAAGGATGAGCTTGTAGCTTTTGAATTATACATTCGTCCCTGTATTTCTTTTATTTCTGGTCTCCAGTAACAGTGGCTGATGATGTTGTGCCCTGATTTCAAAGGCTTGATAATGCAATTCAGGGGCCTGACATTAATATGAGTATAAAATCAGCCTCACCTAGTTACTGCAAACATTTAATATTTTACTTAGGCAGCGGCACAGCTTGAACCAAGAAGGACACATGAGTGTGTGAGGCTTGTGAAGTGGCATTTATAGGCTTCAGCCAATCTTCAATATCCATTCAGGCCTTGTATTGGGGGGGGGAAACTTCCAATGGGTTTGCTGGTCAGATTCTCTTTTCATTTCTGCCTGGGATCTTGTCCATAAGGCTGACAATACTGTTGGCAATTCAACCTGCAAACATCCATCTTTATCTTAGCAGTAAGGTTAGAGTGATCATTGCTATTTAGGTGTCAGAGTACCAGTGAGTGCTAGTGAGCCAGACTTCTATTGATGCTTGTGGTTAGATGAGGGTTCAAGGGGTGGATTTCCACATGTATCTTACCTGAAGCAAGCTGAGCCCTTTACACTGTGCCATAGCCCTTAGTATTGTGTCTTCTTTATTGGATAGCAGTTACAAGAAGTCTACAAGTAAGAGCCACACTGCAGAGTAAGGCCAAGTATGAAGAGCTGAATAGGCATCTTAGGGCCTAAGCTTGATCCTGGCATCCTTCCCCATTTTTCATGAATTAATTTAGCATTCATCTAACAGTCTAGGCCCGGATATAGTAAATAGGAATCACAAGAAATAACTGAGTCCTCCTACTGAACAGGCATTGTCCCTGGGACTATGGGAAAGGTATCTCCAGGCCCAAAGCCCCTTTTCCCTAACTTATGGAAATAGTATAATGGAGACTTTTACACTAGCAAGAATAAAAGCTATAGCCAGGCACTAGTGGCGTATGCCAATAATCCTAGCATTTTAGGAGGTTGAGCTCTGAGGACGAAAGTTCAAAGCAGCCTAGGCAGGAAAGTCCATGAGACTCGTATCTCCAATTAATCATCAAAAAGCCAGAAGCGGAGGTATGGCTCATATGGTAGAGTACCAGCCTTGAGAAGAAAAATAAAATGAGAGACTGAGCCCCCAAGTTCCAGCCCCAAGTACCAGCAAAAGATAAAACGAATAAAGGCTTTTATGGAGGGATCTAAATGAATTTACATGGAACAGTGTAAGGTTAAATTCTAAGGGAGGAAAGCAGATCATACTGGAATTGTGTATCTAGTTTCCTTTTGATTTTGTTACATTCCTGTCCCCAGGAGTCTCTTTCCTGATGAATGCTAAATAGTAACTCTTAGATTATTACTTTTACTCAGAAGGTATTAAGATAGGATGCCTTTTAATTTTATGGAATCCTAGTAGCACTGAAGCATAAGAAATTTTAGAAATAGCCCCTTACTTTCTGTAGGAGAAGATGGCCTTCAAAGTAAAGTGACCCTTGAGTTCATTAATCAATGCCTCATCACTCATTCAGCATAAAAGTGCTTGGCTTGCCATGTCCCCAGCTAGGCACTGTGGGGAGACAGATGACTAGAAGCTACTGGCACAGGATATGATAAGATAGAAGGAAAAGAAGGTTGGGACAGAAATGCAAGGAAGCTACTGAGTGGCAATGCTCCACTCAACAATGCCATTCCTTTCTGTGTGCTGGGAAAACCGATAAAAGAACAGCAGAGAGCCATAGTTAAGCTCAAAGCTTTCCCAAATGCATCCTAGATTCACTATCAAACTATCTGATACCACAGTTTTAATTCCAATTTTTTAAACCATAGGCTATTAGAGTAATTAGCTAAGTACTGCTAACTTTCACAACAGAACATGTCAAGCCTGTAATCCAAACTATTCAGGGGGCTGAGATCTGAGGACTGTGATTCAAAGCCAGCTGCAGCGGGAAAGTCTGTGAGATTTGTATCTCTAATTAAGCAGCAAAAAAGCCAGAAGTGGAGCTGTGGCTCAAATGGTAGAGCAAAAGGGGCAAAGGGACAGCTCCCAGACCCTGAGTTCAAACCCCAGAGACAGGTACAAAAACAAAGCAAAGCAAAACTCAGAATCTTTAGTAGCCTTACCATTTTTGGTCCCTAGAGAATAGTGATCCTATACTAGCCATGATTTTCACTGCACACACATTAAGATTCATGAGTCATGGTGAAAACAGTTTGCTTCCAATTTAAAAAAATAACAAAAATACTGCCATAAAATGAATGAAAGTCTGAAACCATCTGTGTCTCAAATGATAATGCCAACTTCGTAGTTATTGTAAATGATCCGATTTGCTCAAGTCCACTTCCAAAGGAGAGGGCTTCACTGTGCACACAGAGAAAACTGAACGCTGGCTTCATTCACTGGTCTTAGGACTCAGCACACTGGCATGTGTGTGCCTATGGACATGTATATGTGTGTCTAGCACTCAAAAACATTCAAATCTTCACCTGCCACTTGAAACACATCGAGGTCCTCATTACCTCTGGCACTTCAATCAATGTCATAGCCTCCAACCAGCAGCCTGATATTTGCCCATTCGTCCTTTCCTTTGAAGTGCCATCAGATTATATTTTTTTGCATGACTTTCATACTCAAAGAATGTCCCAAAGCTTTCTAGCTACAGAATTCAAGTCTCTAAACTCCATAGCAACCTCTTAATTTTCTAGTGCTTTCCCTCTCCTTCTCCTCTCCCCTTCTTTCCCTACTTCTCCCCTCTTCTCTCTCCTCTCTGACGAAAGCTGACAAAGCCCTTCCTCTCCAGCCAAAGCAATCAGATGCCACTTCCCTTTTCTACTGTTCTAGAAACCCAGGCCAAGTCTCTCCACCTCCTCAGGCCTCCCTGACAGATCAGCTCACTCTTCTCTCCCAGAGGCTTTTATTCTATATCACATCTCTGGCATCCATTAGTGAATGCTCTGTTTCCACGAATCCATCTTTCTCTCTCCCTTAATGAGTCCTTAGCTTCTGGATGGTGACTAGGTGATTTAGCAAGGGCTTTTACGATTGGTAAATAAATCTGCCTTTGATTATTGGGTTAGAGCTCAGAGACTGTGACATTACCAACCAGAGACGGGGATTGTCTCTTTCCCCTAGAAGTAGAGGTCTGGGCCCCCTTCTTTACCATTTTAGGGGAAGGAAGGAGAAGCTGAGTTGTTTATAGTGAAAAAACCTCTTTTCATTAACCTTCCATTCAAATCATCTTTATTAACTTAGTATTTCTTGAGCACTTGTACGAGACACATCAACTAGAATGTTTTCTTTACATACACACACACACACATATATATATATATATTTATATACACACCTATATATAAATGTACATGTATTCATACTGCAGTCTCTAAGCCAATAAATAACTCACCTGAAGGTCAGGAGCACACCTCCCTCCTCTCTCCTAGCCGGTGTCTGGGAGGGAAGAAAAGGGGCCAGAGAGGCCCAGCAATAATCTAAGGGGAAATCTAAAGACTATGGCTTTTGGCAAGTGTCTCCAAGGCGTAGTCTGTAGGACCTGACCCTGCTCCAGGACGGTGGCGGCTGTTCCAATATAACTGTCCTAAAGTACTGCGGTGGCCTCCTCCCCCCGCGCCCGGGAGTGGGTGGGGACGAGGTTGGCTCGGTTCCCACGGTGTCTGGGCGTGGGCCCCGCCGCAGCTCCGCGGAGCCTCGGTGTCTCCTGCAAAGGGGGGCGAGGGGGGGCGGGGGAGAGGCGGCAGCAGCAACCCTGGGCTGCGGTTCCTCCCCGCGCAGCGTCTCTGCGCACCGCCGGCCAGCACGCCAGCCCGATCCCCGTCTCAACGCCGCGCCGCACGGGGGCCTCTCGGCGACCCCAGGTAACTTTTCTGCCTTTCGGCACAGGGGGATCGGAAGAGGAGTCTGGGGTTTCCAAGGTGCGGAGGACGAGGCCCCGAGCGAGGCGCACCGGTCTGCGCGGCGGGCGCGTGGTTGAGAAGTCGCGCGGCCGCCTGGATCTCGGGAATCCCGTGTGCCACGCAGGCGGGGGTCCCCACCCGACCCCCTCCTCGCCGACTCCGGGACCCTCCGGGGAGGGAGGTTGAACCTGCGCGCTGCGCCCCCGCGCCGGTGGCTGCGGAAAGGTCCCGCCCGCTGCACCCGCCGCGCCGCAGCATCCGCTGGGCCCGGGGGCCTCCACTCGGATGCCTGGCCCAGAAGGGAGATTGGGTCTCCGGTCCCTTCACTGGCCAATTTGCGCAGATTCCCGGTTCGGGGCGCCATGTTTTGTTTGAAGTTACATCGCCTGGGGCTGCGGGCGAGGGCAAGCGGGCGGGCGGCCCCTCCCCGCGGGGAGGTGCGGGGGGTGGGGGGCGACACTGCGGCGCCGCCAGGGGCGGGTGGCACGGCCGGGAGGGGCCTGGCACCCCGCGCGCCGCGGCTGCGGGCTCATCCCGGGGGCCGGCGCGGGCGAGCGCGGCTCAGGGCTGGTAAGGTGCGCGCTGCACAAAGCATCCCCGCTCCGCAGCGGGCTCGGCCGCTTTTATGTAACTTGCCTGGATCCCCGAATTGGGGCAGCGGTCCCCCGGCCGGCGTTGGGGGAGGAGGAGGAGGAGGAGAGCAGCCGAACGAGGCGGCTCCGGCCTGGGCACCTGCGGACCCCTGGCTCCCGCCTCGGTAGGCTGGCGCCCGTGCGCGGGAGCGCCATCGCGGGAACTCGGGCCCGGCTGGTGGTGGTGGCTAGGGACGGCGCTGCTCACCTGGCCCCCCCGGGGGGGGGCCGGAGCCGCCTCGGGAGGGGTCTGCAGGGGCGGCGGGGGCTGGGGCTGGGGACGCTGGAGTGGGGTCACTGCCCATGCCAGGCTGTTGTTTCCTGGCTGCGGCTGCGGGGGGCTTTTCTGTCTCGGGTTCCCCGGTAATCTCGCCCTACTTCTCCCTTTTCCCCCTTTCCTTCCCCCACCCCGCGCCAAGTTCGCGGCTTCTGCAATGCGGTGGGTGTGGTTACCTACTCCATGGGAACTGTGGTCCTGGTGGAGAGCGAATCTTTCCCTTTCTCTCTTTTTAGATTCACAGATCTGAAGTTTTCTAGGTCCCCTCTCCACCACCACCACCCCGCCCCGTCCACCCCGCACCGCCCCCGCCCCCCTGCTCCCCGCCCTGCTATTGCAAGCCAGGGGGAAAGTTGGGAAGAAATTGCTGCAGAGCGAATAGAATGATAAAGAGCACATGTGGTATTAATTACGTGTGGAGGCTGGGCTGGAGATTCTGAAAGGGCCCGGCCATCCTGCTAGTGCCGTGGCTGCGGTTACGTGTTCAAGTTGGTGTTTCAGCTTTTTATGTTAGTCTGGCGGAGCTGCTTCTGCAGATATCTTGCCTGTCTTTTTTTCCCCTTCTTTTGAGTGGGGGAGCTGCTGGATTTTAGAGTCTCTAAGGCGGCCCTGTGGCCATGTGTTTTAGAGTTCCATTTAGTAGCATAACTTTCCTAACAGATCACACCAGGCACTAAAAACATGATTTTTAAAAATTGCACTTTTTTTTTAAGCCTCAAGGACATTAGAAAGTGCCCTGAATGTAGAATCAGTCACAGCAGAGGGACTGGAAACTGATTTTTGTCTGGACTCAGCAGGGATTTTTTTTTTTTAAAGAAATTGCATGTCAGTTTGGGCACCCACTTTTAAAACTTTACTTGGAGTAACAAAGTTATTGTGAGAAGAATTAAATATTAAATGCTACATTGAAGAAGCACGACTGTAATTTGTTAAATTTCCAAGACACTGCTGGGGGGGGGGGGAAAGTGAAGCTAAATCCTCTCTCATTTACATTGACTTTCTGATGCTTTAGAAAAGCAAAATATTTCAGTGCGCATGCTACTATGAAAAATGTATCCAGCTAATAAAATTGGTCAGGTAACAGATGATTTGTCCATACCAAGAATAACCTCTTTAATTTGTACCCTTTTCAGGGTAAGCCATACGTCAACGATCAGTGTCTTAAGAAATAGTTACACTTAATTTTTCAATGATTCCTACTGCATGGCTATGATTTAGGTCGAAAGAAGTTTTGTGGGATCCTGTGTGATGCTTAGACTTGAACTGACTTTGATTAATAATGAAATATAAGATCAAGGACTTTTTTAAAAAACTTACTTGATCAGATGTATTTATATAGACAACATTGTTTGTTTTAATTGCTCAAGTTCATTAAGGAGCCACCTAAGTAGAAAAGAGGCACACTTCCATTTTGAGAGATGATTTTATGAATTCTTTCTGCATCTATGTTGAATTAAGTGTTGCAAGAACATGCAGAAGGACGAATTTCCTCTCTGTTGTAGAATGTGCATCCATCTTTTGAGTTAGTGCTTAAAACAACAAAAAGTCCTAGTCAGGTGCCACTAACTCACACTAATAATCCTAGCTACTCAGGAGGATGAGATCGGAGGATCTTGGTTCAAAGCCAGCCCAAGGAAGGAAAATCTATGAGACTTTTATCGCCAGTTAATAACCAAAAGTCAGGTAGTGGAGCTGTGACTCAAGTGGTAGAGTGCTAGCCATGAGTGAAAAATCCAAGGGACAGTACCTAGGCCCATTCAAGCCCCAGAAAAACAGACAGACACACACACTCACACACAGACATACGCACACAGGCGTGTTCTAAAGTTGCCAAATTAGAATTCATATTGTTGCTAGTTAAATAGAACTCTAATTTGGAAAATGAGGTGTTACTTTTTTTTCAGTGAGGATTTGACTATAACAGAGAAGTTTCTTTAAACATATACCTTAATCATCTTTAATTCTCATAATCTGTTCCAAGTGCCCTAGCCCTATTTTCTTCCTTGAATATCAGCTTTATTAGGGAACATAGACTTGGCCATTGAGTCAAATTTATCTTTAGCCCTACTTCATTTAGAAAGATCTTTAATGGTGCAATGCATCTATTTCCTTCCAAAGGCTCTCTGGCTGTCCATTTGCTGGGAATTCATCAGATGCTGAGGGCTATCATTTGATTTGCCCTGGCAGTAGAGAATTATGTGGTCAGAAGGGAGGACCGGAGCACTGGAGTCATCGCCTGGCCTGGTGTTGTGACATCACTATGCTCAAAAAGAAACAGGGTGGGGCAGGCAAAAGCAGAGCATCTGGCGCTTCTTGCTGGCCTTAACTTTGCCTCATGAATGAATGAGACGCTCCTTGTTCAGAAACAACTGCACCACAAGGTATTGTTTGGAGAACTGGAAGAAAGGGGTGAATACAAAATGGCACGGGAGACTATGTCTCAAGGGATCATGGAAGAAGAGGTTTTTGGTGAAATAGTAGAAATCTTTAAATATTCTTTTTATAAAAGAAAATACTCGTATTTTTTTTAAAAAAGAGCTACTTTAAAAATTATCTGAAGAACTAGAACAATGAATCAGTATTTTCTATTTATGTATTTAGTGCATGTATTTCCTACTATTGTTTATACTGAAAGAACATCTGGCTAAATATTTGTTTTTGATGATTAGGTTAGCATTTTGAAAGTATGTCTTGTGTTTAGAGGCACAATTTCTTTTCTGATAAGGTAACCTTATTTGTTTGTGAGCGATTTTCTTGCACTTGGCAGAAATCATTGGGAAAGCTAGAGGTTTCACAGGTGTAGAAAGATATTTGCTATGATCAGGGCTAATAGATTTTTACTTGCTGTTTTATTTGCTAGTTATCTCATATTTAGTGGTTTTTATCCTCAGAACTCAAGTGTAAGGATATTGAGAGACATGTTGCACCACACATTAGTGTTGACTAAATTATTTTTTAAAAAAAAATCACTAAATACATTAAAAATTTAAGCAAAGAGTAGCTGTGCATGTCCCGGTCTTTCCTGTACTTCCGTTCAAAGATGACTGTCATTTTTCATGCTGTTGTATGTATGTAGGAGCTGAGGGTGGTGCCTACTAATCTGTGTGGCTCTTCCAAAACACATTTCAAAAGCACAAGGAAGGAAAACATGGCGGGGGGGGGCATGTGGAAATAGAGAAGTAGAAATTAAGTACCAGAACTGTAGATCATTTGGTTGAAATGTCTTCAGCATGGCATTTTTAGACCTTGGGATGATTGGTTAAATTGCACACTTTAGAACCGTAAGATTCTATTAGCACCAAACCCCTAATTCTTCTGTAATTTGCAGTACAGACAAAAAGCTGACAACTTAATTTTTAGATTGTTGGCATTTTGATAAATTGCTCTTATAGTCCTTCCTTACAAACTAAAAATGTGTATGTGGTGTATGTGTATGTGTATGCGTATGTCTGTATGTGTTCATAGAAAATTCTGTGTTAGATCTAGAAAACAAATGCATTGTTTCACCTGCCTCTAAGTTAATTTTTTTTACAATTATTCTGGATGGGTAGTGAATGTCTGATGTAAGTAGCATTCCTTATGGGGTTTCACCTCCAAACCAAGTAGATATCTAAATCCTCAATGTATTAACTAAATACTTACGAAACTAAATACAAATGAGATCATTTGTGATTTATGCCTCACTAATAGAGAGAGAGAATAAGAATGAATGAAGGAGAGAATGCTTGGGGAGACCTATTTTATATACAAGAAGTACCAGGCTCATGTATTCAGTCATTATTATTGTCCATGTTGTTGTTGTTATTATATTATTACCTGTCCTGGAGTTTGAACTCATGACCTGAGTGCTATCCCTAAGCATCTTTGTGCTCAAGGCTAGCACTCTACTACTTGAGGCACAGCACCACTTCCAGCTTTTTCTGGGAGATAAGCGCTTCATGGACTTTTTTGCCCAGGCTGCCTTTGAACTGTGACCCTCAGATCTCAGCCTCCTGAGTATCTAGGATTACAAGTATAAGCCATGTGTGCCCAGTTGCAGTCATTACTTTAAA